GTTGTATCCACATTTCAAGTGGAGATGAAAGACATATTTATATATGTTATCAAGGGAGACAAGGCACAGAGATAAGTAGTTGATTTTCAATGAAGCGCTGCATTTTGGTTACAGTTAAATAGTAATTTGAAACCATTTTTTATATTGATGTTTTTCTGAAATCTAGGCTGTGGATTACTTTTCACTGCTTTAGAAAACTAATGGGGCCTTTTGTTAGAAAATATTCAAAATATTTAATATTCAAAAATTGGAAGGAGAAGAATTGGAGACTCAAATAATTTTATAGCTCATAAGAAGATAGTAGTACTAATTTTCCTAAACTGAAAATTCCTAAACTCATATTTATAAATATCCTTTGCTTTTGATATTTTAATATTGTAAGGTTGACATTAATAAAGCACAAACTATTCTCTGCATCTGCTGGGGAGACTGACAATTCAGCCCATATGGATGTCATATTCAGTAAGTCAGTCAAGATTTTTACAGCTGCCCAACTAAACTAAGTGACTCTTGTCAACTTACATTTGCTTATGAGACAACTAGCTGGTGGCCATTTTTAAAAGAATATTTTGTTATTGGTGCCTATATTTTCATGAGTTTCAAACTTGTGCACTGAATGGGATGCAGGAAGACATCACCTCTAGCATCGTTATAAGAACAAATTGAATGCAACATATGTAAGTTGGCATTTCACTCAGAAGATTCTCAGCTTACATAGAATAAATATGCTTCAATGAAAGCAAATCAGTGGGACTTAGCTTTGTACACCTTCTGTACAAATAAAAATTTGTGTTGAATTGTACCTCAACTCAAGACTATCATAAGAACAATTCCAATTGTGACAAATGGAAATTAAAGAATAGTTTGCTGATTACTAAAATGTTTACCGTAGTTCTTGCCGTGTTTCCCTAAAAATAAGACAGGTTTTTATTTTCTTTTTACACACAAAATATGGCTTGGGCCTTATTATGAGTGGAGGATTTATTGTTTTGGGGTTACCGGGCAGCTGTTCTCTTGCGAGCGGGCTGCCAAAGAGCCGGTCATAGCCACATGTGCCCGGCTCAGCGCAACACAGCAGCCATGAAGCGACCACACTCATGAGCAGCCACCTGACAAACCCCCTTTCCAGCTGGGCACAGCACCATTCACTGACCTAAGGGTATCGCCAAGCCGTGTGAGCGCCTGGTTATTGGTCGCCTGGCTCTAGTGGCTTGGTGCCTTCAAAATGCCAGTGAATGACGCTATGCACGGCTGGAGAGGGGGGTTGCGTTAGCCAGGAGACCTCCACATGACATTTTCTGCAGCTTCCAAACCGAGTCTTCCCACAGTGGCCACTCTGGGCGTATGCTCTATGGTTGTGGGCCAGCTTCTGGCAGAGCATACAACCATACAGTATTGTACGTAAAAGCCATGCAGCGGCGGCAGCAGAGGACCCCTGGCTCTGTGGAGAAGCTGGGCCAGAGCATCGTGAGGCTGGGAGATGTGAGAGCAGAACAGCTGCTCATACAATCCCCCTCTCCAGCTGTGCAGAGCGCCATTCACTGCCATTTCAAAGGCTCCAAGCCAAGGGAGCCGGGCTGTGGTGAACAGGCACTCACGTGGCTTGACGATATCCATAGGTCAGTGAATGGCGCTTTGTCCGGCTGGAAAGAAGGTTTGTCGGGTGGCTGCTCATAAGTTTGGTCGTTTCATGGCTGCTGTGTTGCGCTGCATTCGTCCATGAGGCTGTGCCCAGCCCTTTGGCAGCCCGCTTGCAAGAGAGCAGCCGCCTGGCAACCTCCCTCTTCAGCTGGGCACAGAGCCGCTCACCAACCTAGCGGTATCCTAAATGCACTAAGCAACGCGATCACCTTTGCCTCCCCTCTGGTTCCCGCGGCTTGGCACGTTTGGGATACCGCTAGATTGGTGAGTCGTGCTCTGCCTGGCTGGAGAGGGGGTCCAAGGGGCTTATTTTCAGGGAAGGGCTTATATTTTTGCCCACCCGAAAAGTATGGCAAGGCCTTATTTTCAGGACGTCATAATTTCGGGGAAACAAGGTATGTATTGTCATGTTTTTCTATAGAAAAGTATATTATTGCAGTCCCCCATCATTTTTTTATTTCACAACTCAAATAATTTTATTACAAACTTTTATTGAAGTTGTTTGTTTGGGGAATTCAAGGAATATCTGTTTTCAGTGATTCAATAGTTTTATTAATATTTAAAATCTCTATGTCTTGTAAATTCCTTTTTTTACATAGCTCATCTAAATCAACTTCTAGATTCTCTTTATCCACCAGTCTGCAAATTATCTTATCACAACAGGATATGAAGTTGTTTTGTCAGCCTTGACTAAAATGATATTGCATCCCAGTGTTGGGACAGTGAATCATTCCTGTGCGTAACAATTCGCACTGTTCATTGTTTATTTTCATTTTATTGTTAGCAATTTACGTTCCAGTATATTGCAATAAATTTAAAATGCTAACTAAGAGACTAGGAGTTGGGAAGTGTAAGACCAAAGGTCCATACTTTTATAGTTGCCAGTCATATACTTTTGGAAATACCTTAAATCAGCAGGAATCACAATATAACTCTCTCCTGACAGTTTCCCCTTCTCAGTAATTAGTATCCAGTGAGCATAGATTCTAACATTCTATTTTATTATTCTATTATATATTAAGATTTACAAAGAATTGAATGCTTAATTTAATTATAAAACTCAGATCCATCCATACATGTGACTGATTTCCATAAATTGTTACTTTATGAAATATATTTACACATAAACAGCATTTAAAAGTCAGACAGTCAGGTGGTCCATTTAGTACTATTGTATATACGTAGTTTTGATTGCTGAGTTCTTTAGATTATATTGCAAAAGACCTTTCCTCTAAATTAAGCAGGAATAGTTTAAAGATTTGTCCGTACTCAATTTCCAGTAGTTTTCTCATGCAAAGTATTTGCTTGAATCATAAAATCATGCCTGCCCACGGTTTTTGTTGATCCAGAAACTACTGCCATCATCATCATTGGCTCATCACAATTTGTCAACAAGTTCATTCTGGTATTACATAAAAGAGAAAAATGTTGCAATTTTCTCCACATCAGGACTTAACTTTTTAAATCTCTATTACATCTCTTCCTGATTCATCTTTTAACAGTTCTATTGTTTCCTTGACAAAATATGCCCTTAGTAACCTTTCATTATTTTTACTGCTCATTTGTCATTTTCTAGCCTGTTATCCTTTTCTAGATTTTAGTAACTTCCAGAGCAAAATTTATATTTTCATGTATTCACCTCAGCCTATAAAAATAAAGTTACTGTCTATCTGAATCCTATTGATATAGTTTGAATGTTACAATGTGTACTCCTTCAGAATTTTTAGTTTGTTTGCTGTTTTCTTGCCAGTTCACTTTGGTGAACTATTTAGGAAATCCTTACAGTCCACTTGGCTTTATTATACAGAGTAATTTTTATGATTCTAGATAATTTATGAGCAAGCCCTTCCTCCCATCTTATTTCATTCACACCAGTGGTGGGTTACAGGCACCGGTATGGGCGTACTGGTGCCTGCTCGGAGCACTGGATACTGTTCCATTCCGGTGCTCTGGAGGGCCCGCCCGCCCGTGCTCCTTACCTGTCTTTAAAGTCTTTGGCACGCAAGCGCACGGTGCGTACAGCGCCTGCACAACACTCTGACGAATAGCTGGAGCGTTGCGGAGTCTCGGAGGTGTCGCTGGAAGGTAAGATGCATGCAAACGTGTTTGCGTTGCGCGCATCCATGTGAACAACACTGAGCCCCGTTGCAACCGTACCGGTTGGAATGAGATCTGGAACCCACCACTGATTCACACATACCTATTTAGCTGACAGTACATGTAGCCTTTCTGAATTGTTTATCCACAAAACTTTTTAATTACTAATCTATGTTAGAATTCTACTTTCCAAAGTTTATTCTTAACTCCTTTCTTTTCTTCTATCTATAAAAAGTTTTTTTTTAGAAGTTTATATATTTCTAACAAAAGGAAAACATAACAATTATATCATTGAAATAATGAATTGAAATAATGGGATGAAAAGAATGTCCCCACTTTGGGGAGTTTCAATGTGTTTAGAGATCCCTCTAGTGGCTTTACATGTGATTAACAATATTATTTGAAAAGTCTAAAGTAATTCCTCTAACGTGCATTATAACGATTACTATTCTTACATCTGTAACTTTCAGAATAGAGAATAACACTTGAAAGGGACCTTGGAGAACTTTTAGTCCAACCGCCTGCTCAAGCAGGAGTCTAATGCTTATTGGACAAATGGCTGTCCAATTTCTTCTTAAAAACCTCCAGTAATGGAATACCCACAGCTCCTGAAGGCAAGCAGGTCTGATTAATTGTTCTCACAGTCAGGAAATTATTCCTTAATTATCTTTCATTCCCTTGATAATTGCCCATTTGTTTCTTGTTATTCCTTCCTCAATTGCTTTGGAAAATATGTTGACCTCCTCTCCTCTGTGACTGTCTCTCAACTATTGTAACACTGCTATAATGTCACCACTAGATTAGATGAACCCAATTCCCGCAACCATTCATCATACCGTTTAGCCTCAAGTCCCCTAATCATCACTGTTGCTCTTCTTTGCGTTCGTTCTAGAGTCTTAACATTGTTTTTGTATTATATTGACAAGAACTGGATTCAGTCACTTGTAAAGAAAATGTTACTGAAATAATGCATTGTTTTTTCTTTTTGAGTCATCGCATTTTTATGGCTTATTTTTTCTGTGCTTAATGGAGTATCATCATGATAAGATTTGCATTGGCAATTAGTTGTATCAGTTGGTTAAGCAGGGAAGCTAGAATTCATTCCACTGAACTTAACAATTTCTGGACTGAGATTTCTTACAGAACATGTGATGCGTAAATATTTATTCAGTTGACAATGCTGTTTTTATTTAATAACAGATTAAAATGTGCTTTGAATTTAGTTATTCTTCCTTTAACAGATATTATGAATTCTCCCGTAGGAAGAAAATGACTCCATTAATGTATGCAGCCAGAGAAGGCCATTCTCAAGTTGTTGCTCTTCTTGTTGTTCATGGATCACAAGTAAATGCCCAAGATAAAGGCGGTTACACTGTGAGCTTTTTGTATAATCCTAACTAAATTATTTACTTTCCTTTCTGAAACTTCAAATATTTCAACAAGGTAGACTTTAAAGATTTTTTTTTGGGGGGGGGTTCCCCCCATCACTGGCAATTTTTATTTGTCCAGCACTGCTATTGTGAACTGGAAAATAAATGGAAATGTAGTCTTAGGCTTACTGTATGGAAATAAAAAGCAGAGCAGAGCTAGGTGGGGGAAAAAAGGAAAATTCTAGTTCTTCTCAAAAGTGTAACTGCTTTATTTATTTATCAAATTTATAAGGCTGCATATGTCACCCAATGTGATTCTGAAAGGTGTATAGCCAACAATTATAAAACTAATTAAAATAGTTATTAAGACCAAAATTGTGAGAGGGTTAAAATCAAATTATTATGTGTAATGTAGCCTCTGTATGGGCTTTCTTTTGTGAGAATATTCCCCTGGCCTGATGGAATACTCATGCTTTGAAGGCTTTCGGGAGACTATAAGATTTTGGGTTAACCTTGCCTCAGGGCTATATTCTAAAGGGTGGGTCCTATATAAAAAAGGGCTGAACCTGATGAGATGGATAGATGTAATTGAGAGGAGGCAATCCTTCAGATGATCTGGTCCCATGCCATGTAGGTCGGAAACAGCACCTTGAATTGGACCTGGAAACAAACTGGTAACCAATGTAGCTCAAGGAGCAGAGGTGCAGCATATATTTTTCTATATGTTTCTATATAACTGCTCATGCTCTTGCATTTTGTACCAACTAAAGCTTTCATATACTCGTCAAGGGCAGCCCCTCATAAAACATGTTACTGTAGTCCATTCAGGAAATGACTAGGGTGTAAATAACTGTGAGCAGAGAGCATCATGATCTAAGAATAGGTGCAACTGCTGCACAACATTTGTACAATTTAATTTATATGCTCCCATATTGCACCTCAGTCAACCCGTTATCTTTAGCCTCACTTTCTTTCCATATTTCTTCTCTGTTCTTCCTATTACAAATTTTTGTTTTACATTTTGGCAAGATGTGATGCTGAATTGGGATGTGAAGATAAATTACTCGTATGTGTTATATAGAGTGGGGTCATTCAGAAGTAATGTATATTCTGAAGTTTTTCTTTTTATTATTGTAAAATAAATATGATCACAATTGCTAATAAATCATTACAGGCATTAACGTGGGCAGCATGCCAGGGCCATAAAAAAGTAGTATTCAAGCTGCTTGAACTTGGAGCTGATAAATCAATACAGACAAAAGATGGACAGACCCCAGGAGAGATTGCAAAGAAGAACAGGCATTTAGAGGTACTGTTCTATGTGAAGAATCAATTCTTGAGTTGAGATGTTTTATTTGAAGTAGGGGTATATTTTATAAAGAGTTTTTTAAACATCAAAACAGATATGAGTTATTTACTATTGATATTAATATGAATGTGCATGCAATTAATTTTTATGCAATTGTTAGTAATGTCAAGTGCACTAATGTCTTAATGTCTTTTATTTTTAAACATGCTCTATCCTTATTTTTATACCTATTATGTGTTTGCATATATATTCATTTACCTGTTATTCAAAAAACTTATCTAACATTTGGGTTAGTGAACATCTGCATTTTTTTTCTATTTAGATACTGATTAAAACAGAACAGAAAACAGGAACAATCAACTTACTGTGTTTCCCCAAAAATAAGACAGTGTCTTATTGTTTTGGGGTTGCAGGGCGGCTGCTCTCTGGCGAGCGGGCTCCTGAGTGGGCTCCCGAAGAGCTGGGCACAGCTTTAGGGGCAAACGGCAGCATGCCGGGGCTGTGTTGTGTTGTCGCAGCAACGCAACACAGCAGCCATGAGATGACCATGCTCACGTTCGCCCCTGAGGCTGTGCCCGGCTCTTCGGGAGCCTGCTCACAAGAGAGTAGCCTCCCGGCAACCCTTCTCTCCAGCTGGGCACATCACCACTCCCCGACCTAGTGGTATCCCAAAGGCACCAAGCAACGTGAGCACCTTTGCCCCCCCGTCCCACATCTTGGCGCCTTCGGGAACCACTAGGTTGGTGAGTGGTGCTCTGCCTGGCTGGAGAGGGAATCCAAGGGGCTTATTTTCGGGGAAGGGCTTATATTTTTGCCCACCCGAAAAATATGGCAAGGCCTTATTTTCAGGACATGTCATATTTTTGGGAAAACACGGTAGTATGAAAAAATAAAGATTTCATGAATTAACTATGTCTGAAAATAGACTGTACACATTTGGAGTTTCATTAGAGAATTGTTCTATTAAAAGTAAGATTTAACTGAGGGATTTAGATAGATAGTTGACAGTTTAAGAAATACAGTTTAATTAAAAAAAAAACAACCTCACATAAATACGATAATTCTATCTTCCTTTACTGGGGAAAAAACCTATATATCCAATTTACTGGTGTGCTCCCTTTTTGTTTCTGTATTTTCAAGTTATTGGGTTCAAATGTCTAGGTATCTGGACAAGTCCCTGCAGGTTTTTTGACAACATTTTCAGAAGTGTCCCAAAGGTGCTTTTTTCAAATCCAAGAAAAGACCCAGCAGGAGTTCCTCCATAACCGACAAAGCAGAGAACAACAAAGAAAGCAACATTGTCATTCCATACATTGCAGGAATACTGGAAAAGCTTAGGAAGATTTTCAACCAATACAATATACATGCATACTTTAAGCCCCAAAGTATACTAAGGCAGAAGCTTGTCCAACCCCAAGAATAAAATACCCAGACACAACTGAGCAATGTGATGTATGAAGTACAACACAGTGAGAAATGTTTAGATCTGTTTATTGGAGAAATAAACACGTGGCACAACATAGGAAGACAAGCCCATCAGGACAAGATTCAGCAGTCCATCTTCATTTGAAAGAGGAAGGTCACTCTTTTGAAGATAGAAAAATCCACATTCTGGATAGAGAGGACCGCTAGTTTGAAAAAGGGTTACGTTAAGATTGAATAGCCCTTTCTCAACAGGGGGGGGCGGGGGTGGAATACACCACCACCTATCTCCTATTTACAACACAATATTATAAGCAGCCCCAAGAAGGTTCCACACCCATTTGCACTATTCAGGTGACTCTGAGGGCACAGATGAACCTCCAAGTGGCCTCAACAACTCTCAGAAAGCGTGCTAACGACCAAATAACTACAAGGAATATAAATCGTTCCAACCTCCACCATTCAATCAGAACTGACAAAACTGCTTGGATGAGAAGCAAAATGTCTTCAAGGAAAAATAAAGTCAAGGTGCCTTTTGGAAAAAAACACCTTTTGGACAACCATGACCCAGATGATTGGCTGTCTCCGTAGATATTTTCAGGAGTGCTTGTCACTGGCTTTCTCGCTTGGTGAGAGAGAGTGATTGGTCCAGGCATCACCCAATTAGATAATTTCTAGCTGGGACTTTACCAGTGCTCCAAATTTGCTACTTTATTTCCAGTAAGTGTTTTAAATATTTGCCTTCTCTTTATATGGGATACAAACTATTTAATATTCCCATTAAATAGTTTATATCCCTTTTAAAAAAAATGCAGGACATTAAAAAATGCCAGGAACATAAACCTTGTCTTGGTTGCCATAAACCTTTCTGTAGTTCTGTTCTCTCTGAAATATGCTTCCAAGCATCTCAAAATATTTTGTTTTCACAGGCTAAATTTACTGAAATTCATTACAAAGGGTTAACCTATGTATCAGGAGTGAAATCAATTTACCTTCGCTACCAGTTCGCAAATGTGAGCCCGTGCTATGTGTCTATGTTGTAGAGTGAACATATTGCTATAGGTATAAAAACGGTGAAAATGGTTTCCTGTGATTTTTCGTAGCTTTTCAGTTTACTATCTTTATCGGCAAATCCTTTCCAAAGAAAATTCCAGAACCTGAGCAAAGAGGAACCTATTCACAGATTTATAGCTGCAGTTCCAGATACCCTTAAAAGCCATAAAAGCAGGTAGTACTTCAGGCTTGAGAAGTTAAGTTTTGAAAGTTGTGTTCAAATTTAAATTTGTTATAGAGAAAAACTGCTATTAGACTTTAAATGGACAATTGTTCAGATCTTCTATCAAAATTCCTATGAGCTACAGTTTTACACTGCTAGTGCTAACCAGATTGCGCTTGAATGTTTAAAGATTCTTTAGAAATTAAGGATCTATGCATACCTTAATGCTGGATTATTGGGAACATAATCATCTATTGGTTTTTAATATATAGTATAATATAATAATTTACCTGACGTGCATAAAATCAATTTTTAGTTTTGGGAAAAATTAATACAGATATTATAGAGCAAGCATTTTTAAACCACAACATAATTTTATATAGAATCAGATTTGAACTAGATCCAATATTTCAGAACAAGTATGTGCTTTCAAATGTTCCGTTCACCATAATGGAAAGTTTAGAGCCCACTATTTAAGGCTTTTTTTTTGTATTTCTATGTACTTAAAATATAAATATATTTTAGAATCTGTAAAATGGATTAGTAAATAGCAGGTCTTTCTTTGAAACAAATAATTTGTTTTCTTAATTTTGGTTTAAAGCATTTATTAAAATTATTCATTTATATATTTTAAACTAATTGAACCAATGCATGTGAAAAGTTCCTATGCAGCTTTTAGTGACATGGAAGTCTTTCTACATGGTCTTGAACTTGAACACATAACAGAATTACTGAAGGTAAGATTTCTTTATTGAAAACATGGGTGGGGAAAAATCTTAATTGGATTATTCAGGGTGGAGATAATTAATTTATTGCCATCGTATAACAACATGAGTAATTTGTGTGCGAATGGACATTGTAATGTTTAAATAATTATATTGATATGAAAGAGTGGTTGAGGCACCATACTGGAAAGCAGGAAACTGAGTTTAAGACCTGCCTTAAACTGACCAGCTGACTTGGGACAGTCTCTCTCCTCACAGGGTGGTTGTTGTGGGGAAATTAGGAGGAGAAAAATGTGTTGGATATGTTTACCACCTTGATTTGTAGAAAAAAAAATTAAAGGTGGGATACAAAATAAAATCATTTGTTAAATGTCATAATGTACATAATATAAATAATTTTGCTTCCTTATTTTAAATGCCATACCTACTGATTACTTTAGGTGCAGTAGATACCCCATAAGTGGATTGTTTTATTTTTTTGTATTATTTTTTATCAAATCCACTAAAGTGAGGTTTCATAGTAATATATTATTGTACAATTCAAAATATCACTGCTTAAGTTTAATCCAGAAGTTCAAGCATTCATGTGATTAACTTCATAATATTGTGGGAGAAGTAAATTAAAAATAGCTTCTGAGTTTGTTTTTCAGTGTTCAAGAAAAGAGTCTCCCTGCCAGCTTCCCATAAGAAAACTCAGTGGGAAAGCTGGCAGGAAGTTGGAAATTGTTGCCACTGTTTTTTTGCCTGCCTAGTCCTTCTGTTTCTCTATTTTCGTGAGGAAATATGTCTGAAATGATGACCCAATGTTGTCTAATGCAAATTATAAGTGTCTTCTCAGTTTGTTTTTCTGTGTTCATTGTGAAAATACTTGGAAGTTTAATACTAAGGTGGGTTACTGACCTACATAATAGGATCTTAGCCCAACGTACCTCTTAGAAAATACTTTTGTTTCTTATAGGAGAGAGAAATACCTTTAAGACAGCTTTTGACAATGGGAAAAGAAGACTTAATACAAGTCAGTCTACTTATTTATTGTATATTTGCTCTTACTGCAACAATACTGCTGTTTTAAATTTTAATTCTGTATTTTTTCACTTAATAACACTTTTCAATACTGGTTTGCATTTTGATTTGAGAAGAGTATCTTCTGTTTAACTGATTTGAATGTCTAATTGTTCCTTTTTTTTTGCAGAAAAAAAGGTTAGGCTGGATATGTGCTTTAATAGAAATTACTGTTATACAAAGGGTCTGTTGATATAATCATAGCTTTATCAGTACAAGATGTTTTGCACTTCTCAGTTGAAATGATTGGTAATTTGAGCAAAATAGAGAATGTTTAATATGTGACGCAGTGTGGCGCAGTGGTTAAATGCAGCACTGCAGGCTACTGCTAGATCAGCAGTTCAGCGGTTCAAATCTCACCGGCTCAGGGTTGACTCAGCC